CACTCTTGTAGGACACTCTTGTGGGACACTCTTATGGGACACTCTTGTGGGTCACTCTTGTGGGACACTCTCATAGGACACTCTTGTAGGACACGTTTGTGGGACAATCTTGTGGGACACTCTTGTGGGACACTCTTGAAGGACACTCTTCTGGGACACTCTTCTGGGACACTCTTGTAGGACAGTCTTCTGGAACACTCTTGTGGGACACTCTTGTAGGACACTCTTGTGGGACACTCTTGCAGGAAACTCTTGTGGGATACTCTTGTAGGGCACTCTTAAGGGACACTCTTGTGAGACACTCTTGCGGGACACTCTTGTAGGACACTCTTCTGGGACACTCTTGTGGAACACTCTTGTGGGACACTCTTGTAGGACACTCTTGTGGGTCACTTGCAGGACACTCTTGTGGGACTCTCTTGCAGGACACTCTTGTAGGACACGCTTCTGGGACACTCTTGTGGGTCACTCTCACACGACACTCTTGTAAGACACTCCTTGTGGGACACTCTCATAGGACTCTCTTGTGGGTCACTCTTATGGGACACTCTTGTCGGACACTCTTATAGGACACTCTTGTGGGTCACTCTTACGCGACACTCTTGTCGGACATTCTTGTGGGACACTCTTGTGAGACACTCTTGCAGGACACTCTTGTGGGGCACTCTTGCGGGACACTCTTGTAGGACATTCTTGTAGGACACTCTTGTGGGACAATTTTGTGGGACACTCTTGTGGGACACTCTGGTGTGACACTCTTGTAAGAAACTCTTGTGGGACACTCTTGTGGGACACTCTTGTGGGACACTCTTGTAGGAAACTCTTGTGGGATACTCTTGTAGGACACTCTTGTGGGACACTCTTATAGGACACTCTTGTGGGACACTCTTGTGGGACACTCTTGTAGGACACTCTTGTAGGACACTCTTGTGGGACGCTCTTGTGGGACGCTCTTGTGGGACACTCTTGTGGGACACTCTTGTAGGACACTCTTGTGGGACATTCTTGTGGGACACTCTTGTGGGACACTCTTGTAGGAAACTCTTATGGGACACTCTTGTAGGACACTCTTGTGGGACACTCTTATAGGACACTCTTGTGGGACACTCTTCTGGGACACTCTTGTAGGACCACTCTTGTGGGACACTCTTGTGGCTGTGGGACACTCTTGTAGGACACTCTTGTGGGACACTCTTGTGGCACACTGGAAGCAGTCCTGCGAGCGTTTCGTACGAGACGTCCTCCAAAAGTCACGCTTCGAGGCTGCACAAGACGAGCGTTTCGTTCGAGACTTTCTCCAAATGTCACGCGTCAAGTCTCCAAAACGAGCGCTTCGTACGAGACTTCCTCCAAAAGTCACACGTCAAGTCTCCAAAACGAGCGTTTCGTACGAGACTTCCCCCAAAAGTCACGTGTCAAGTCTCCAAAACGAGCGTTTCGTACGAGACTTCCTCCAAAACTCACATGTCAAAGTCTGCAAAACGAGGATTTCGTACGAGACTTCCTCCAAAAGTCAAGCGGAAACACCCATCGGAGCACACACATCACGCAGCCCTGCCAAGCAGTTTCGCGAGTCCAGCCCCTCCAAACAATACCCGCTCACACGCCAATCCCAATGTGACAGCGACATTCACCTCTGCCACGAATCTTTCCGCATCCACACGTCTAACGCGCACAAAGTACTGCGCCTGCCACGAAATGTCACCTCCGTCACACCTCGCAACCTCACGATTTCCTGCGCCTGCCACGAAAATCGCACTTCCACACCTCAAAAGCCACACAAAGTACTGCGCCTGCCACGAAAAGTGACAATATCATCTCATGTGAGCTTCAACAAAATTTGCACCACACCACACGTTTGCAATGATTTCGACCCGTTCTGAGCACACTCCCATCCACCAAAATCGGCATTTCAGCTGAGACTTGTCACGAAAACAGAGCTTCGATGCCACACCCTGCAACGCAAATCCCAATGGCGCGGCCACATCCAACACCCCAAAAACACGACTATCCAAACGCTAATCCAAATGGAACTGCGCAGCAATCTGCAGATCTCACAAAACGCTGCGCCTGCGCAGCGAAACGCATCACGTTTCTTGCGCCACATCTCATTTTCATGCAAATCACAATGGAATAGCGGCGCAAACTGACACGTGACACATCCAAGAAAAGTCACTTGCAAAAGCTTCCCCCAATGGCAGCGCCTTAGCGTCCTACTGCGGACGGTTGCGAACGGTTGCGGACGGTTGCGAACGGTTGCGGACGGTTGCGAACATAGAAGCAACGGGTCGCGAACAAGGCTCTACCCCCAGACCCCCAAGAGTTAACGAGAACCCTTCGCTACGCATTCGGGAACAACAACAAAAACATCCCTCGCGCCTCAGCATGCAAAGCTCAGGCGACCATGGCACAATGACCACCGCGTGGTAGCCCGCCAACTCGGAGAAGGGGATGATACGCCCCTCTTGCGGCACAATGCGGTAGGGGAACTTGGGCCCTCAGCGAGGCTTGAAGAATCGAGGTAGGTGTGCCACGTTCCTTTTGTTTTGCGCGCATCTCTAGGTGCATACACGTACGTAGGCGAGATGCCCACTCGCACTCACATCACTCACCCAGCAACTCCCATCACAACCTTCAGCGTCTCCGCCAAAACCTGTCCACACCTGCCTCAGACACGACCGCATTTGGCCAGCCCTCTCCTTCTCTAACCCTTGCGCCCCTCATTCTGTCCAAAACCCTCGCCTGGCATCAGCCGCAGAGACTCAAGGAAAGCACTCTCATACTTGAGGCGCCCCCGGTTGTGCACCAGCACCTCTGCTTCCCCTCGCGTGGCGCCACGCGGGGCGTAGCTGCAATTCACCCAGGTGGACATGGGACGGAGGAAAGGCACCTGCAAGAGGCGGACAGGGATCCGGGCGACGTCCGGAAACGACCCTTAGGCCTTACCATGGTGGTTCGGTAAATGCTATGAAATCAGGTGGGCCAGGAAGCCTAGGGATGGGTGTGTGACGTTCTCTGGGTGTCGATGGGCTCTATGTCTTGCAGACGGCGACGGCTGGAGTTGAGAGAGGCCCAAAAAAAGAAACGTGCTGAGCAGAAGGCATACTATCTTAGTATATATATATATACCAAGCTTAAATAGGCTTTAAGTATAGGATAACATTAAGTTTAAACGTCGTATATCTAAATGTACATCATTCTAAAGAGTATGCGAAGTTAGATAAGTTCACAAAAAATAGATATATAAGTTCAGCAACTAAGTAGCTGCTCTACACCCCCAGTGATCTGGGTCGCTGAAATCTGTCTAAACACTGCCCGCCTCCGCCCCTGTCTGCCAGAAGAACTGCTCGGCCCGAAACAGAGACTCCGCCGCAATGAAGACCTCGCCCGTGACTGCCTGTCGCGTCAAGCGCCGCACGTGGTGCCAGAAGGTCTCCACCAGCTTGTGACGGCCTAAAGCCAGGTCCTGCGCAGGTCCACTCAACATCTTGGCTTCGGTCTCGCCCCACCGGGTCACTGTCCGCACCCTTGAGAGTCGGCCCTCCGATAGGAAGTGAATGCAAATCCTCAACTAATGCAATTTTGAACACGTTTGGAGTTTGCAATTATGATGCAATTCTCGGTTGCGGGACAGTACTAGGTAGTGGTTTTCCACACGCAGCCAAGTTTAAACTTCCTTGCTTGGTCGTTAAGAATGTGGCCATTGTCTGCTCACTTGGCCTGTGAAGCCCAACCAGGTACAGTCAGAAGGCCTCAGAAAGCGTTGTCTGTGGCCCCCATCAGCCATAGCACCGTGAAGAAATTAAACTGCCTTGCCACCGTTCCATCACCCTCTCCTCAGCCACCACGAGCATCACTGGCGGCCCGAAGTAGAGCACCAGAGGCACTGTTGGGAAACGCTCCCGGAGGTAGATTCCATCCTTGGATGAATTGCCGGGATCCACCATCCCCAGGTCAAGCAGTTCCGGAAATCAAAACAATGCACGCTTAGATTCTGCAGGGGCACTCTCACTCTCTCTCTCTCTACATGCATATGCATATACACATGTACACATATACGCACATGTATATATTATATATATATATATTCACATTCACATAACTCGTGTGTGTGTGTGTGTCTGTGTGCTTCTCTTCTACATCTCTTTTGGCCCCCGTTGGGGCCCAACCGTGGTCACTAGCGTTGGAATGAAACCGGAAAAAAAACACACACACACACACACACACACACACTTCGAACTTGGGTTTTCAGTTAACGCAATTGCCACGTTGGG